TGTAGATCAAGCTTAAAGTTTGATCTACAATGTGCTTTTTACTTTATGTTTCTTTCTGTTCATCTCTTTCTGATTTAAATCTTAATCTTGTAGTTAGAAGAAAATAAAGAATAAGAAATAGGAAGCGAAAAGCATATTGTAGATCAGGCTGTAGTCACTGAAGTCTGATCTACAATGTATTCTTTGCTTTCTGTTTCTTGTTTTCTGTCTTTTTTTAGTTTAAGATTTAAGACTTGAGTCAGAAAGAGATAACGAAAAAGTAACAGGAAGCAAATAATACATTATAGATCAAGCTTGAGAGACACAAGTAACATGAAAAGAGGCAAAGTGCGCCACCGCGAGAGCAAGTTCCAGCATCGCACATGAGCACAAGGATAGAGTTTAACCTAATATCGATATCGTAGCTTTAAACGACTATAACTCGCAAATGAGTCGATGTTAAGACATAAGATAAAAACTAACATCTTTCACACGTGTCCCTAAACATTATCTACTCTTCTATCATTACTCTTTTACTATCCATTTATTTTCTTTTATTTTTACACATCTTCATATTTCCATTTATTTTTCCATTATGGTTCATTTTATTTTCTTTTATTAGTATTTATTTTATTTTCTTTTATTAGTATTTATTATATTTGAAAGAGTCGAGGATAATAATCGATTAAAGCACGATACACACAATCGCGCGTGCAATATGTAATTTCTTTTATTCGCAATCGAATTATTCAAATTTCTTTACTCGTTTCGTCTATTGTGATAAGGTATTAATATTGTTTCCGTGAGACAAAGTAAAGGAATAATGATCATGTATGGTTATTTGCAAAATAGTAGAAGACAATTTTGTTCAATTTCTTTGCGTGTATTGTCGCGATTCAACGTCACGAGAGGAGAGACAGGGCTAGTTAGCTACTGCGGTAAGTTGACAAAACTAATTATTTCTAGTATTTTCTAACAAGTTACAAAATTAGGCAAGCAAGATTTTTAAATATGTTAAAAGTCACTTTAAAATCGCTGCTTGCTTGATTCTAAAATCTATTAAAGAACAGTAGAAATAATCGATTTTACCAACTTATCCTGAGCCAACTTAGCCAAATAGCTCTGGTCTCCCCTATATTATATTTGTCTATCTCTCTGATTACCACTGATTATCTCTCTGATGCATTTTTAATTCCTGATTAGTAAATCCGACGATCGTCTGATTTCAGCACTGCTTAAATGAGACGACGGTAATCGCTGCTTAAATGAACAAGCATAAGATTCGTGTTAATAATCGTTACTTGAAACTTGCCTTTGGTGAGATGCTCAGTTTAGAGTTAATTGTGAATTTTTCAGTTAATTTGAAATTATTGTCTCGTATATCATATGCTTTAACTGAAAAACTGAAATCCAACTCTGAATTCAATAACTGAGTATCTTTCGTGAGATAAGTAACTTCAAATAACGAGTATTAACACGGATTTTGGAGACACCGACTCGACACGTCACGACAAGCACTGACTGCATACGTATACCGAGAAACGAGAAGATTACTCTCTAATAACGCACTTAGTTATTAGAAGTTGTCCCGATGATCACTATTTCAATACTTTCAACACTTATCTCCACACGAGATTCACTTTCGACAGGCAAAAGACGCGGAGCGACGTCGATCGATGTGTTAATGATGACAGTTTGATGCAAAAGGATCGAAGATGCGCGTGTTATTCGTGGTATGCGTCAAAAGTGCGCGCTATGACATGAACAGAATCGTGCCTCTACAACGACGCCCTATACCGTGAATACTTTCGATAGATCGATAGTTAGGATGAAATCATACGTAGAATCATGCACAATTTTATGCCTTCTTATATGCATACTAACTGGCATGCTTTAAGCAATTCAGTTCACTGCATGAATCGTGTATTGGAATATCAATGCAGTGAACTGAGCCATCTACAGCTTGCCAGTTAGCATGCATGTCAGAAGGCATGAAATCGTGCATTGTGTGATTCCATCAGCATTTACTGATATTTCGATCAACTATATTTATTTCTAATTACGTGTTTTTCATTACTGTTATTTAATCCAGAAAGCACTTTCCCGTTTTCTGGATTAATCTAAGCCATAACATATATTTAAAAACACTGTATTTTCAATCCAATATTTTATACTTTCCATAAATTAAAATTACTTTTGAATAAGAATACTGAATTTTTTTCATTAAATCGTATAAAATATATTCTTGAGAATAATTTATTTTCGTTTAACGTATTATGTAATCACACTTAAAGATTATATTAATATATATGTCAAAGGTAAAGATATTTTCTCAATAAAAATCTTTTTTTCTATGTATAATTAATCAATTTGCTTACTGCTTAAGTTCTATTGTTTACTTTTTTTGTACTTCCGGCCTTAGACGCGTCGAGTTACATCATTATATGTGTGTGTGTCGCATTACGAGATTTCTTTCAATTCTTTTATGTTCATCGTTCCACGATATTAAATTATCGTAGACTGTTTTACATTATTTAATTTTTTATTAACCATTCCGATATCACTTGTCGCATTCCCATACATCGTACAGCTAATTATTAAGATTCAATAATTAAAATTCCAGCTTTAATTATTGGTAATAAATTTTTATCGAAATCTACATTCTACATGAGACCATTGGCTAACTTCGATCACCCATAACTGCATTTTTTTATTATGTCTTTCGGCACTAATTAAGTCCCGAATTACGTAATTAAATATCGTACGATAATTTTAGCGTATGCTAATATCGCGTGGATATACGAGTTATGTCTCATTATTTGCTGCTCGTACTCTACTTTTTTATTAATGAATACATTGCACACGTCAAAGTTATCGTGTTATCGCGAGCATTCCACGAGTTCCCGGGGTTATCAGGGGACATGAAGAAGGGGTAAAATCCTTCCTGACAGTACAGCGGCTCCCAGCCGTCATCAATGGCGTTTCTTTAGAGAAAGGCTTATACGGAAACTTTTTTTGTCTCACAGAGGTCGCAGAGACGAACGTATGGATGCATATACCGATAACGGAAATGGACCAACTGGTGAAGCACGACGCACTCCAGACCATATCTCCCTGTTTTTCTCCATTGAAAAAAACAGGTGAAGAAAAAATCTACACGTTTCGTTCTTGTCTTCAAAACATTCAACTTGATATGACTGCACAATTACCGTAATAAGGATCAAATCTGAAAAATTTATATGATAAAATGATTAAACTTAACACGTTGACTGTCGCGTTAATTTCCACTGATTGCATAAAAGCAAAATTGATCACTAAATTTACCAATTATAAAATACAATGTGTATATATATATATATATATATATATATATATATATATATATATATATATATATTTCCTTTGTATAATCAATAAATGATCGTAAAATTAATATGACAGAATAATGAAGAAATTACGTTAAAAAAGAAGATTGCACGATTATTTTATGATTATTTATTACTTGTTAGAGTAAGAAGAAAGTGTTCGAAATATTTTAGAGGTGTGCTTAATAGATCGCAAGTGTTATTTTGTGAGTATATCTTTTCATCCTGACGAATTTCGCAAGAATTTTTAACATGCATTTTCTCGCGTCATTAAAAAGAGATGATCGATATAAGTATCCAGCAGTCTTAAGAAAGATTTATATTACGTTATAATATTACGTTTATTTATTGATTACGGTTATTTATTGATTGTTAAGCGCAGATAATAGTTTTCGGGGCATTTTATTATGCTGTATGTACGCTGAAGCAATTTCAAGTGTTCTTTCATGCAAAATATCATTTTATTTAAAGCACGCAAGAATTTCGGACGTGCATTTTCTCGCTTCTGACGTCATCAATCAAGAGTTCCGCGACGAAGGATCAGGAGTCTTAATGAAACACCGTAATTTCATAGTGCTGATCGCAGATAAGATCACAAAGTATCCAAAGCGTTAACTGTAATCAGGACGCGCTATGATACCCACGAAGCCCGGAGGATCGATTTTCTATTATCTATACGACCAATTTTTCAAATGTGATTAATTATACTTCATACACATGACTTGATGGAGCATAGTAGCATCACAGTGCTCATCACCACCAAATGTCACGGTATTCAACATGGTTAACTGTAATCTGGACACGCTACGATATGTTCGAAGCTCGATAACGACGAGGTCTCAACTCGCCTTTTATTCAACGTCATCTGAAACGAATCTGTCATCGCTTTACCGTACTTGGATTCATTATGACAACCGCGTCTCAAGGCGTCCAGGACGTTAGATGTAAATGGTAAATCACGAGCAGTTGGCTCTCCCGCACGTACGGAGTGAAACACGACCATAATTGCCACCGAGAGAATCTCTCGCTCGGGGAACAAGCAATGAGACTGCGCTCCTCTCTCTCTTCCTGCTCCCCTCTCCTTCCATCCCTCTCTCTCTCTCTTTCTCTCTATCTATCTCTTTCTCTCTCTCTATCTCCGGAAAAAATGACGCTCGTAGTGATGCAGCGAGGGCACCGGGCCCTTTTTTAGTGACGGGCGCGGCGCGGCAGTAGCGG